GGATTCGAACCCGCCACCTTAGGTGTACGTGGCTGGCGCCTTAGCCGGTTGAGCTATAGGTGCTGAGCCACCTTACAGATTTCTAAGGAAGAATGGAATCACTCTTATGACTCACTGTAACCCTGGTGAAATGAGGAAACAGATTCCCAAAATATACTAATTCTTGGCAAAGCAGGTTCTAAATTAGTATCCTTGGGAAAAAGGAGGGGAGAGGTACTTATAAAGAAAATGAGAGCTTCTTAGTTTGATAAGGGGCTACAGGAAGTGCTAACTCAGTCAGATCTGTGATGCAACACTGGGAGAATGCTTTGCTCTTCAAAAGAAATAGAAATTCTTTATTCTAATCTCCCTCACCAATAAGACTGAATTCCTAGCTTAAGCAGGGTGTTTGTTTCTGTTAAGTCCATGTGTATCAGGACCAACTAAGATAAATTAGATTCATAGAACTTAAGATTGGAAGGGGCTTCAAAGGCATCTAATCAAGGCTCTCTTACCTAAAGCTTAGGAGGGTTCTTCTTCTACATTAGTTAAATGCTGAACACCCTTTTATCTGGTTAGTCTTAATCTTGCAGGGGAGCCTCCATCAATGGACAGATGAGACAAATGAGGAAAGTTCATCTGTCATTCTCCTTGAAGTCATCCTTCTTCTGTATTTGCTTACCTTTCTACTAGATCCTTCCTCCAGAGGCTATAAAACACATTCAAAATTCCTAGATATCAAGAAGAACCCCCCTCAAAACCTTAGCTCCTGACTCCTCAAATCTTCATACTCCTCTAGTCATATCCGTGTCTAGAATGTCTGAGGATTTTTTTCTTTAAAAGCCTAAATCACCATACGTCTATTTCCTAATATCCTATATTTCCCTCACTGAGATCATTTCTCAGTACACCCATAACACCAATAATGATCTCCTAATTTCCAAATCCAGTAGACATTTTTTAGCCTTTATTTTAATTGACTTCTATAGTGCATTTGGTTCTATTGACTATTCCTTTATTTGTTCTTTTCTTTAATAAGAAAAAAGCTTAAATACATGCTGAAAATATTCAAATATCACAAAAAGGTCTCTCTAACCTCTCAACCCCTTCTTACTACTATTCTCTATAAATAGTGGCCATTAAATTTAGAAGTACATCCTTCAAAAAATATGAATACATTCATAAACATATATAAAAGTAGGATCATACTATAAAACTGTTATGAACTTTTCTATTTTCATTGAATATATGGAAAGACATTTTCCATGTTAGAAATGGAACAGACTATTTTCTTCACTCACTTTCATAACTAAAAAGTAGTCATAGGATAGTGTAGGAATAGAAAATTTATGGCCAACAAACCCATCTGAACCTCAGAGATGTTTTTCTTTGGCCATTTAATAAAATAATAATGCCTAAATGTTTTAAGTCACAACATAGCTGCACATTTACCTCTGCTTTCAAAACTTCACTAAAATGACAGCAAAGGAATAATAAAGGCCTAACCCCAATGCAAAAGAAAGAACAGTAAAAGGAAATAAGAAAAAAAGATAGATGTTAACAAAATTCTGGACTCTGAATGGACAGAAAAGTAGTAACCACCTAGACTAAAGTTAAATGCTTCACACCATTTCACTTCACAGAACGCTAGAGTTGCAGAGACTGCCAGTTGCTTATTAAAATCCTGATTCTTGGCTGGGTGTGGTGGCTCACGCTTATTGTCCCAGTGCTGTGGGAGGCTGAGGTGGGTGGATCGCCTGTGCTCAGAAGTTCAAGACCAGCATGAGCCAGAGTGAGAGCCAGAGAGAGACCCTATCTCTACCAAAAATTGCCAGGCGTTCTGGCAGGCGTCTGTAATCCCAGCTACTTGGGAGGCTGAGGCTAGAGGATCACTTAAACCCAAGGACCCAGGGGTTGGTGGAGGTTGCTATGAGCTATGATTCCACAGTATTCTACTGAGGGTGACAAAGTAAGACTCTGTCTCCATAAAAAAAAAAAAAAAAAAAGAAAGAAAGAAAATGAAAGCAAAATTAAAAAAATAAATAAAAAATAAAATAAAATCCTGGGGTTCTCCTCATCTCCTGGGCAGGTATCTAGACTATGTTTCCTAGCCCTCCTTGCAGCTAGGCATGGATATATGACTGAGTTCCAGACAATGAAATGTGAGAAGTGATACATGTCGCTTCTAGGCTCGGCCCATAAAGATCTCCTATGCACATTTTTCCATATTCTTTTCCTCTTCTGACTGGATAAAGTGGAGATGACTAAATGTTGAAGACAGCAGACCAACTGTCACTGTTGATCTCTACATGACCATATGGAAGAGGGCTATCTTGCTGACTTTTCCCTTAGTTCTGCTACATAAGAAAAAAACTATACTATGTTTGAGCAATTACATATATTAGAATCTAGCTATAAAAGCAGTTTTTCTACTTAAACTAAAACCTGGAAAGGCTGAAGAGTTAGAGGTATCAGAACCTCTGCCATGGGAGCGTGTTATTAGGGTTGGAAATAGGTTAGTTCAAAACCTACCCAAGACTCCCAACTTGACCCAGAGAACTAGGAAGGATGTCAAAAGTTTACTCTTTTTATAAGAGTAAATCAAGAGACTCTGATTATCTGATACTTTGGCTAGGCTTTCAGATTCTAGAATAGCTGAAGGTGAATGTAGGGTGTCATAATAAGCCAGAACTGAAGGATATAAATTTAAAGATTGAAAAGGCCCACATAGAGCCTAGCATGATGAAGGAAAAAAGAGCCACATTAAGATTTCACATCACTGTGGAATTTTGAAATAGCATGGAAGACAAAGATTCTAAAAGCTTCCAAAGACAAAAGATGATCCAAATACGAAGCATCGGAACCAGAATGGTATAGGACTGACTACTCAACAGTAACCAACAGAAGCTAAAAGACAATAGAATGGCACTTTAAAAAAACTGACAGTACAGACTTTCTAAACCTAGTCAAACTACCAATCCAGAACAAGAAAACTGTCTCCCATGTATCCTTAAGAAGCTACTGAAAGATATGCTCCACCAAAGTGAAGTAAACAATAAAGAGAAATGCACAAGCTCCAAGAAAGGAGCTTGAGGCAAAGGAAATTCTGAGAAAAGTGATGAAGGAAAAGTCAGGCCTTAAGAGCAACCAGTTCAAAATGAAATGAGAGAATAAAGGACTTTAGGAAGGATATTTCCAAGAAATCCATCCATAACTTTAAGTAACTTGAAGGAGACTTAAATTTTACACAGAAC